ATTGATTTTGGAAATAACATGTTTCAAATCAATTTTGGCCTTTATGCATGCAAAGCATTATTTTAAGTCTATCAGTTCTAACTTGTCGCATGCCAACTGAGGCTGTTCTTTGGTCGAAATGACTTGTGCTTGAGTAATACACTTAAGCTGGATTCCTGAAACTGTGAAAATATTTTGTTTCATTCAAGTAGCAATGTACAATCCATTGCAGTCACTGCAATCTTCTTTATTAATTCTTCCAGTGTATTCCCCTCACGGATTTCGGAGCATAGTTTAATATATTCAACTATGAATTTAAAGAAGAAAAGAAAATGTATTATGGTAAGAGATTATAAGAGGCTTGATCTGGATGCATTTAGACATGACCTGGCAACTGTGCCATTTTATGTTGCATCTGTATTTGATGATGTGGATGATGTTCGGTGGGCCTGGAAGAATCTTTTTGATAACATTTGCAATGACCACGCCCCCTGGAAGCAGGTTAAAATTAGAAATACATCTGCACCATGGATAGGTGATGGAATATGATATAAAATGAATTGACGGTATAAACTTTTTAAGAAGGGGGTTAACACGAAGTGTCCCTTATTGCGGCAGAGATATAAAAGAGCGAGGAATGAGGTTACCTCTGCCTTAAGACTGGCTAAGGCTTGTTACTTCTCCAAGATGTTTGACGATGTGAAGAATACAACCATGTACTGGAAGGTACTTAAAAAGGCGACAAATCCTACTCGTCCGAAGACCATAGGTCCTTTGAAAAGAGAAGATGATAGCCTGGGACTGCTTGATGAGGAGAAAGCCACTTTGATGAATTGACATTTCTCCACAATAGGAGAAAAGTTAGCTGACTAACTTCCACTGCCCTCTCCTGTAATTGAATGTCGTGAAGGGGAAGTAATTCAAAATATGAGTTCTGAACCTCCTCCTTTAAGTGAAGTCACGGTATCTCAGGGATCAGTATGCAAAAAAGTCCAACTGCTGAAAATGAACAAGTCAACTGGTCTTGATCATATTCCTCCAAAACGAATAAAGGTTGCAGGAAAAGCAATTGTTCCTGCTCTAGCTTCTCTTTTTCCATTTAGCATAGAAAGTGTGGTAATATACTTGTCTTGGAAAACAGCTAGACTTGCACCAATTATTATAAAGGACGACGAATCAGATATCGGAAATTATCGTCTGGTTTCTCTTCTCAGCGTCCCTGGCAAGATTACGTAGTCGGAGATTGACAGCACTCTAGTACAACACATCTTCAAAAATAATAACCTAGCTTCGGACAGGCAGTGGGCATATTGTGCTGGGTATTCAACTGAACTTCTGCTGATACACTTTACAGAGTCGTGGAGGAGAGCTGTGGACTTGGGAATGGCAGTCACAGCGGCCTTCATCGATTTCAAAAAAGTGTTTGTAGTGTGCCTCATGACATCTTGTTGAAAAAACTGAACTGTGAGTTTGGAGTCAATGGTTCTCTTCTCCACCTACTATGGAATTACCTCAGTGGAAGACAACAATTTACCGTGCTAAATGGTGTAAAGCCGGATTTATTACCTGTATCGATGGGGATCCCACAAGGATCGGTTTTAGGACTGACATTGTGCTGTTCACAAATGACTTACCTTCTTCTGTGCCTACTGGGTCGGTTTATATGTATGCTGATGATACTACTATATACTGTATCGGAGAAACAGTTGATCTGGCAATCGATCAACTGAATAAAGCTTTACGAGAGTTTTACAACTGGTGTTTAAACAACCGACTAACGCCACATCCCAGAAAGAGCGAGGTTATTCTTTTTAGCAAAAGGACACCGATGCGGCCTATTGCTCCTATATACCTAGGAGACTGGGTGTTAAGTTTGGTTACCAAGACGAAATTGTTAGGTGTGATAGTAGACCAGAAACTCACCTGGGTGGCCAACGTGCTTGAAACAAAGAAAAGTTTTGCCAAAAAACTAGATTTACTTAAACGTTCTCGTTTTTTGCCAAGAGCAATTTTAAAAGACTTTTATTTTAAAGTGATTCTTCCAGCTGTTAAGTACGGTTTAGTTTTGTAGGGTTCATGTGGCAATTCTGATCTTTTTAAGTCAATAGAAAGGCTTCATTGTAGAGCAGCACGTATAATCTACAATTTACCTAAGGATATGGCATCAGAGGACGTGCTTAGACATGTTCAGTGGCCTACCTTTGTTATTTTTTATAAGTTGGATGTTCGTAGACTTTTTTATAGAGCACAAAACGAATCCTTACCTGATATAATGTACGAGAATATTGGCCGAAAACGAGTTCGCGCTTATTGCACTTGAGACCAGAATCATCTTCTCGTACCAAGGTATGAGTCAAGATGTATGAAAGACTCTCTCTCATATGGAGGAGCTTCGTTATGGAGCTTTGTTAACTACAATAATAAGGAAGCATCGGCGACCCTCAATTTTAATCAGCTCAGGAAGCGAGTCAGTTCTGAAGATTATCCAAGCATCTGTCCTCCAGTAGGTAAGAACCAATTCAAATCATGTAAAGTAATAGTTTCTAAATTGTTTAATGTTTTTGTTTGCAGGTATGCTGTGCGACTTGGTGGAAATGATAAAATCAACGAGTTGTTATTGGGTCAAGATCTTAATGATGGAAAACCCCATCGTGTGGATGTGGTACATGCGGATTTCGCCATAAATGTTACACTTGATGGTGATTCATCACAAACGAAAAGAAGTAAAATTACCACCAAGTATAAAAAGCTTGAAATAGATGTTGCCATCTATGTTGGAGGAGCACCAAGTTTCCAAAATCTGCTAGGGGTCAAATCGAAGTTTTATTTTGTGGGTTGTCTCACCGATGTGAAATTTGAAATTGTGAGGGGTGCCCCTCAAGGTGAAATACAATTCCTCAAGAAGGATGTTGTTGAGAGTGTGAATGTTGATATGACAAAAGACCGCTGCTCACCATTAGCCTTTCAGCCATACACTTTTTCCAAACCAGACTCTGAATTTACTTTTGCTATTGACAAGAAGATTTCAATTGCTGGAAGCTTCAAGTTTCGAACATATCAGAAAAATGGTATTCTCCTTAAACAAGGTGATCAACAGAATGGTTTTACCATTAAGTTTGGAAGAAGTGGTGTTATTTTGAGCTTGATGATCAAGGGCACACCAAGTGAACTGACTCTCCCCACTAATGTCAATGAGCCAAAGGTTGACGCTGGTAACTGGATTACTATTAAATTCTCTGTCTCTGCCACTGACATCAAGTTAGAAGGTTACAACAACAACCTACCAGTCACAAAAGCCCCAAGTGCAGCTGTGGGGAATAATTTTTTCCACTCTGATGTAACAGTTGGTGGTTTCATTGGTTGTATGCGAGACCTGAAAGTCAATGATAAAGACTTTAAGCCAATTAATGGAGTTTCCCAAGTCAAAGGTGTGGAATTTGACAAATGTAACATCATTGATCTTTGCGTCTTTGTCCCCTGCTTGAATGGTGCAACATGCACAACAAATGGCAAGGAGCTGTCTTGTGATTGCACAGGCACTGGCTACAAAGGAGAAGTGTGCCAGTTGGGTAAGTACTTGTATACTGTTGGTTTTATAAGAAGCTAATGAAAAGATGAGATGGTGTTGTTACAGGAGTTCTTGAACCAGGGCTCGACACTAACGGTAGCCCACTAGCCACAGACTAGTGGAAATTCGGTTTTGGCGAGTGGTTTTCAGTTTCCACAAGCCAGTTTAGCTAGTAAATGAACTGACATTGTTGTAGCATCTAAGATGTCACCAGCCACTTGGCTAGTAAGTTGAAAAGTTACTGTTGAGCCCTGTTGGACTCCTCACCACACGTCATATCTAGCACGAGAGTTCTGTTAAACTAGCATCTACTTTCTCCCTACAATATCATCCTTGAACATAAAGGTCACGAGAAAAAAGGAAATGATCACTAACTAAAGAAGCTTTAGATTGTTAAACAAATTCTCCTTGTCAGCACCTCAAGAAATTTATGGAGGACAGTGGGGAGAAATGTAATATTGATGTTAGGGTGTAGTGGGTTTTAATCATGATTATGTTATGTGTTTCCTTAAATTGAAGATTTTTTTCCCTTTACTTCTTGGTGTAGGTTTTGCTCTTTTGTTTTTGTACATGTATTTGTATATCTTAATGATATCTTGATGCTTAATGGCCTACAAGAGGATTATGGGTACTTGCCCTGCTTATATAAATGAACTGTTAGAACTAAACAACAGCCAATGCAGCAGAAATACGTGAGGTGCAAATTTAACTATTTTACCAAGGAGATACATTAGAGAGAAAGAGGGTTATATATTTTCTGCAACAATATTTTCCGCATATTTTCTGCAACAATCTCAAGATGTTGGAATCACCTACCCTTAAGCTACGCACTTTTCAATCTGTAAATACTTTGAAGAATGCTTTGTATAAACATTTTAAATTAAGTCAGCTTAGGGGTAAGATTTTTACTCTTTTTTTTAGATAATTTATTCTTAGATCACATGATATGAGCAATATGTTTTACCTTTAACTTTTAGATCTTGATTTGTTGTACATTGGGATTTTTAATTAGGTTCATTAAATTTTTAATAAGGTTATTAATTACGTATGATGCACGATCTTCGCAGTAGATAGCGCTTAAATAGCGCTATCTACTGCGAGGATCGTGCATCATACGTATCTAATACCGCAGTTCAAAATATATGAACTTCATATATTTCATTGTATCTAGGTTATTAATTGTAAGAAGATTCTTTTTTTAAATTGTGATAGAGTTTAGAGAAGGCCACAAGTTCTTTAGTTTAACTATTAAGTGTCACCCTCTTTAAATAAAGTTTGAATGATTGAGTGATATATCACTGCCAAATATTTTGGCATGTTGTTGGAGTGAGAAATGCAGGTACTTGTTGGTTTCTTTGGGACGTTGTCTTGTGTTCCTGGATGTGACAATTGAAATTGAAATGAAATGAGTCATTGAAATGATAAATGGCACTTTCAGGGAAACTTGACCAAATGTTTGTGGTTGCAGCTATGATTTACAATACATTAATGTGTAATAAAGGTATTGGTAGATCATTGACTTTTGAGTATGTGAAGTCTGTAGCTTTTTGTTTACAGCATACTGTATGGACATTTTTACCTCAGTTTTGACCAAATTTATTATGTGTATGTTCTTCCCGTAGCTGAGTATGGAGAGAATTGCGAGGCTACCAAAAGGCAACTCATTGGTTATGGTGGAAAGCCAACTGATCGTGATTATACTATTGATCTTGATGGGCCAGGCGAACTGCCGTCTGTGAAGCTTTTTTGTAATATGACAGCGGATCCAGCAGTCACAGTAATCAAGACTTCAAATGCAAAGGGGAAGATCATCACCACTGGTGATAAAGGCACTCCAAGCCAACCCTATACTGAAGACATAAAGTACGTTCCTAATTTAAAATCAGCAAAAGCCTTGGCTAGGAATAGTGAAGCATGCAAGCAGTACATTTATTTTGGATGCAAAGGAGCCAAACTCCTCAGTGCCCTTGAGAAGGTCAAAACCGGCTACTGGGTTGCAAGTAATGGTCTGTATAGATACTACTGGGGGGGCGCCCCGCCCACTATGTCATCCTGTGCCTGTGGAGTGAACAAGACTTGTTCAGACAAAAGTTACAGGTGCAACTGTGATGCAAGGGACAAGAGTGTTTGGAGAAGTGATAGTGGATGGTTAACTTCTACATCAGACCTGCCTGTAACACAAGTTGTTTTTTCTGATGTGAATGAAGGAGAAGCAAATTTCTCTGTTGGCTCTTTGTATTGTACAGGTGAGATGTGAAATGTATACTCTGTAAATAAAATTACTATCCCAGGTGAATACATGGCCTCCAAACCCCCAGCCTACAACACTCCAAACAACCCACCATAATATAATTATTTGTCCAACATCATGTTGGAAAAGCAGGTTCGATCATTTCGCCGCTCCTCTTGATGTTGCATTTACAGCTGTAGATAGGTTCCCAGAATTGATCCAGATTAAAAAACTTTCATCTCATATTGTGCTTTAAAAGCAAGTATTTGAAGGTAAGCCATCTCTGTCATCAAAATGAGTCCAGATGGGAAAAGGTAACCAATCGTAAATCAGAGCACTTTGATGTTAATGCCATACTTTCGACAGCAATAGACAGAAAGCATTACATGCCTGTGGGCCCACTTTTTAAAAATTCGATCAAACATTTATTTAAAGGAGCCACAAAAATTTTTAGGTGTCAAAGCTACGCCGTCCTTCCCCCTCGCCATCCCCCTGCAAATTTAGAAGATTGGTGCGCATAAATGCCCCACTCAAGCACAGCTATTAACTGAACGATTATTTGTGTGATCAACAAAAGTTGTATAATGTAGCCAAGTCACGTAGTAGTGTTTGGTGCCACTGTTTGTTTTTGCTTGTAAGCATCACTCTACGATGTGAAAAATTTTCTTCTGAGGCATTTGCTCGCGAAAGTGAACTCTAGCTTTAAAACTTCTCCATTTTGAAAATTAAAACCCGTGTAATCCGTTAGTTCAAAGTCCCACCCCC